GGGGGGGGGGGCAAATCCCTTGTGTGGCTGCTATCGCCCTGTTGGAAGGCAACATAATATGTATTCATGAAACATGTATTACAGTTCACTTTATTATTATGATAAGAGACTTGCTTTAACACTCTTAGATATATCAATAAAACATTGTCCAACTGATCGCGCCCTCTCCCTCTCTCTCTCTTTTATAGTGGTCTTTTGTTTTACTTGTGAAGTAACATGGATTTGTGGGTATTTTACAGAGTGACTTGGATTTTTTTTATCAGGCATTTTTCGGTTTTCCAATAGGAAACACCAGAATTCCTGCTAGGGAGGCCAGTGACAGGACCCTGCCTGCTCAGAGCTGGTACCTTGGACCCATCTGGCTGTGGTTGACCTCCTGGCCAAACAGAACCAGGAGGACATGCTTTCACAGTTCAAAGCTGGGCCTGAGAAGCTCCTGAGAGTGAGTAGACCTGAGTTACTTGCCAGGGCGGCTTTTTATACTGCTGGAGACAGCACAGGTGCTGGTCCTGGGCTCTAGCTTTCCCTGGCTGCAGATCTGGGAGGAGCCAGGCAGGGTTATTTTGCCCCAAGTGGCACAACTTGCTCCACACCAAAGTGCGTGTCTGGGCATGTACACTGAAGGAAAAAGCCCTGGCTCAAATTTGCACCGCTTCTATTTGAGCTGCTGCAAGCGCACGTGCTTGCATGTGTGGACGTGCCCATAGGGTTTGTGTGCATGTACTAAGTGGACTTTAAATAAGGCAACTTAACTAAGTCGACTTAAGGTACATCGAGCATATACACATACAGCCCCTTGACATGGTAGCAGCCATCTTGTGAGCTGAGTTGATTTGACTAATGTGACTCAAGAAAATACACCTGGGGGCCGCATACAAATTGACTCTACTCCACATGTATGTATACTCTGACAGTTTAAACCAACTTAACTGTAAGTGAACTTAACTGTCAGAGTTAGTATTCCTATACATATCAGAGAGAAATGCTAAGATCTTGTTCAGTTCTAAGCTGGGGTTTACAACAGCCTTGACTGCAGTTTGTGCCAAGGTAGAAAAACTGCTGTTTTGAGAAACCAGACAGGTTGCAGTCTTTCCAGCTCCCAGGTGCAAATGAAATGTGGAGTACATAGTTATACTGTGCATCTGTTTTGTCTGCTACAATCAAGATTTGAATCATCTTCTGCCAAAGCAGATTTTGTAGTCTAAACATGCAAAGCAATTATTTTTTGTAGATAATTCAGGCAAAGTTTGTATGGACGTGGCGAAACTACTAGCATTTGATATGTGCTTGTTCAAGTACTCCCTTAGTTTCAGGTTATCGGTTTTTTTCCAAAGGTATGTTGGCAGCAGTAAATGGCTCCGCTAGCTTGTATGTAGCTTCTCTTCTCGTTAAACTGCTTTCAGTGGCTCTTTTAAACATTGAGGACATTGTCATTTGTTTTCTGTTCTAACGTCAGCCTCAGCAGAACCTTGTTGCTTTATATGCGATTCCTAAATGGGGATCAGTGTGTGTTTGTTTGTTCTCTATACATCCAGAGTCATGTTGCAAGATGAACACAACAGTTTAAGACCATCTGAATGCAAGGTTCCTACAGGGAACTGCATTACACATTCCTGAGCTGAGATGTATTTAGCTTTCTTGTATTTATTTTCAGTCGTCATCTTCAGACTTCAAACTATTGCATTTAAGATGGTGCTGAAACATTTCACTCTACTGACCAACGCCTTCACTTTTTAATCTACGTCACTACAAGCAGACACAGAGTACATCTACATGTGCCTCCATGGAGCAGTTGTTACTGTGCCATCGTTTAGTACTTCCTTAAGTTGCTATGCCATCCTGGCACCACATGGTTATTTTTAGCAGCTATGTTGCTGTAGCAACACGCTATAGCAAGGAAGCTCATCACTACAGTGGTGTAGTGGTGGCATCACAGTTTGTGCCCACTGGCACTACGTCGCTGTAGCTCATTTGCTATGTCGTTGTGGTGTCTTGCACAGACGTGCCCAGTAACTCTCAATCGCGTGATCTATGACTATAGCGATACTGTCTTCGTATTGCAGTAAGCATTCTATCCCAGAAGAGCGCACACCAACTGCTGAAACTTCCTTAGCCTGACTAAGGGTTTTTGAACCTGAAAGCTTGCTTAAAAATTGTTCTCCAACTATTTAATTGGTCTAATAAAAGATATCAGATTCACCCAAAGAACCTTGTCTGCCAGTAAGCATTGGACCATTCCAAAACAGCATATTATATGACTAATACACATTTTTAAGTTGATTTCACAAACAATCCCATATATTTCATATTTTCTGCAGAACTGCAATTTAAGTAGATAAGTAGACCTACTTATTGAGGTGAAATTGCTTTTACAGCTCTTTAGCAATACATGTGTTAATAGGTATGTTCACACAGATCACTTTTTTTTTTAACTTTACAATGAAAGGATGTATTCTTCCTTATCTCATGCTGCACAAATGATAGTGTTAGCAGTGTGTTCAAATGGAGTTTGGATTTTTGTCTGGCAACTTATCAGATAACAGCTTAAAACACTTTGTAAATGCAGATATTTGAGTGTGTGGCTGGGTTGGATCCTATGCAGAAATTTTAAAGAAACTCTTTGGCATGTTGGATAATTTTTCTCCCCCCCACCCATAGTTCTGTCTTGAAGCACCAATGATCCTAAAATTCCCTATTCACTTACTGTGCTACATGTTTGAAGGTTCAATTTCTTTCAACAGGCGTGAACACAAATTGAATCACTTTAGATTTTGTGCCCAGACAAGGGCAAGTGAAAGGAAAACTGGGTCATGTTCATTTGGGCTTGATAAGTAAGCATGAGATTTTTCCTGCTCAAGATGTTTTATACAGGAAGTCTGATCTCACAGTTGCAAGGAAAATCGTGTTCAGTTTTAAACCAGACATTTGTATTCTGGGTACAAAAGAGAAGATTATGGTTTATGTGAAATATTTATGCCAAATGAAGTATAGTGGTGAGCCTAGGTCCCTGTAAACCAAGAAGGTGTTCTGGCTTAGCAGATAGGCCTTCTCGTGTGCCCTTGCTTAGAAAAGAAACCACTTCTGGAATTTACCTTGTTCTTGGAAAAATCTTTAAAAGAAAAATATTCCCAGAGTTTCTTGCCGTAATTCTTTTTTTTTTCTCTCAGCAAGAGCTTTCTGATTTATTTCAACCCAAGAAAGCATTTTATTTTGTAGATTAGATTGACTCTCTTCAGCTTCACATCTAGTCAGAGTGGTGAATGTGACCTGGTCACACAGCTCAAATAGGCAAAGATTCCCTACAAGGTTCATTATTGTCAGGTCACTAAATAGGACCACTACAATACACAGAAGCCCGATACGTGCATGCAATTATTGTTGCCGTAAGTCCTAAAATTCATAACATGATGCACAGTTGACTCTGCTGATTCTGTGACCCCACCGGTAAACGGTATGTCAAAGGATACTTAATACATAAGTTTGTTGTATTAAAGCTATTGGACCTCTAAAATCTGTTACCTTGTTAAACATAATACAATAACATCAACATTTAAAAAAAAGCTCCATCTATTATTAGGTGCTCTTGTATGTCTTCTGTTGAAACTATATACTCTGGTTCTCTGTGTAGTTGGGGGGGGGGTTACAAATGCCTTAATCGTAGCTGGAAAATATTCAGACCATCTGCTAAATTACAGAAAACTTGTTCTCCAGTGATTTGAGAACTTGGCTGCAATTTTAGTTCTGTGAAACACACAACCTAATTATTCTCATCCTAGTTGAATGCCTGCAGAGTGATATGGGAATTGCTAAACAAACTCAGACTAATAGTCTATGCTGGTACCTTTGACAATGGCTTGTTGCAATCAGAGAAGGGTGCAAGGACCCTTGTTGTTGATGCAGTAACACATTTATGGGGAAGCATGTGTCTATCCTCAAGCAATTGGTGGTGGTTTATCCTGGAAGAAAAGGGCATATTTCATATATAAGCTTCCCTCCTTTCCCAGTCCATTGTGGGTGGCTACAGTGTTGTTGTTTGTTCACATAAATGTCTAATCCCTTTAAAAAATCTTGTTCAATGCTTTGCTTTAACTTCTTGGAGCACTGAGTTAAAAATGTAACAATTCTTTAGCTTGGTGGTGGGGAGGGGTGACTGTTTCATTTTTGTCATAACTATTTTAAATTTGTTTCCATTCAGTTTCCTGGGGGGCGGGGCAGTTCAGTCATGTACTGAGTACCTATTTTATCATTCCTGCCTCTTCTCCCCAGTCCCCTGTTCCTGAAAGTCCTTCTATATGCCTTGCTTCTTTCAATGTTTTTGGGCTTGAATTTTCCATGGTATCTTTACCTTGGTTACAGATTGACCTATGGGACTGCTGCCTGGAGGCCGTCTTTCAAATATACCCTTTGTCCTGTATGCTTCTATATTGCCCATTTACTGCTTATACTAAAGGCACTTTAAGTATCACTTACCAAGAGGACCCTATCTTTTTAAATATTAAACAACAATTACAAAACTCTCATCTTCTCCATTTTTATAGTTTCAGCTGTATATGATTCCACGCTCAATTTTAGAAATAATGAAAATCCAACTTTGCTGGGAGTTTTAAGTGGGAAGAAGTACCATGCTGATTTGTATGTAAGGCAAGTATTCTTTTTTTCTCTCTCCCCTTCTTTCCTACTCTTTTTTCCTTTTTAAATGAAGGTATCCATTCTGCTTATAAGCAATAACACAGGTTTCTTTTCTATTACCTATAAGAAAAGGAAATAAAATCTCAAACCATCTTCTAAAGTGCTTGATGCTGGTCTTAATTTTAATAGGGGGAGTTGCCAGACAGCACACTTCTGTACATTGTGGATCTGTTGATTCCCATTGATCATTTCAGTGATACTGCTAGACTGAAGTCTTTTCCTGCTCTCAGATGATTTTTTGCAATGTCATATATGTCAGTTGTTCAATATATGTCAATTGTGACTCCTTGGCTTTTTTGCCTATGGCCCTAAGATTCTCAAGTGATCTAGCCTCTTAAAAACTAACTAGGCCAAGGACTATTTAGCTTCCAAGATTTAGATAATATTGGGAGCATCTACACTTGCAATTAATTCGAAGCAATAAACTCTGAGACAGTTTTACACCAGGGTTTAGTGCTCCTGGGAACACTGTTAGAAAGTATGTCTGGGACTGCAGCATGTTGAGCTGGGTCAGAGCAACCCTGTTTGGCAAGGGAGCCCCGAGGGTCAGCCTGCCAACCTAGGGCTGCTCCTGCCCAATTTTTTTTTCAGCATGCTGTAGAGGGGCTGGCTGGGGCACAAGGGTACTTCAGTGCAGGGATACCCAGCAGGCAGACCCCACATTAAAGCACCCTTGTGCCCCAGCCATAGCCAGGCCAGCTTCTACACATGCGTTGCTGCAGAGTAAAAGAACTCCACCATAGGATAGTATTTATGTTTTGTAAGTATTAAGCTATGGTGGAGTTAATGAGCTTACTCCATCCTAATAGCTCTTCATGTGTAGATGCTGAGACCTTTTACTGCAGAACTAAATAGGAAATTCAACAGTAAACATCTCATGTAGATGTGCCTATTGGATGTGTTCAGGTGGTTGTGGCTGCAGGTAGATGCCATTTAATTTTTTATTTTTTTTTTTTTAAAGCATGCAAGTGCTGTTCAGTCAGTCTTCAAAAAGCTAGATGATTGTGTTGCAGTCTTTTAGGGGGAGCTGTGGTAAGCAGCAGAAGAGTTACTCTGTCCAAATAATTGCAACTAGCTGCTCTATGTGAGCCTGGTATTTGTCGTTTGGCTGGGAACATGGAAAGAGGAGAGAGTCTCCCCTGTCAGTGGAGAGATCAGTAAGGTTGAGTTTGGGTAGTTTCGTGGTCAAACCTGCTCTATTGGTCCCTGAACAGAGGTGGGCGAACAACACAGACTATCAGTAGGTCCCCATAATCTGATTCAAAGGCTTATTCTATCAGTTGGATCTAGGCTGCTGGCCACTGGAGTCAGAAAGGCCCATCAAGACTGGGAGCCTAGTGCTGTAATTCCTGCTATGCTGTTATGGCTAGCACTGCCTGGGTAACACTGCCCACAAGTTCCCAACTTGTGTCACTGAAATTGGCATATGGCTTATTTCTGAATTTAATCCCATGTTTGGAAGCCCATCCATAGGTTAAATTCCCATGGGAGGAAGCTAATCTCCTTAAATTTATTTAGAATTAGAAAAACATAAACCGTTTAAATGGAAAAGGACTTTAATTACCTTACAGTATATTGTCAGCTACAGATAAGTCTAAGGATTGCACTTGAAACTACACATCTCTTTCAGGTATTTGTAGCATGACAAGAAAAAAACAAAGTAGCTTGACTTGTGTGAAATAAATCTGTGCTTTAACTGACTTGCAATTTTAAGCTTCACATTTAAACAGGTTGAGTGTCATGATTGCTCTTTGCTATCTCCTTTTTGTTGTTTGCAGACGGATTCCATTAGAAGAAATCCCGGAAGATGAACAGGAATGTTCCAATTGGCTCCACAAACTCTATCAAGAAAAGGTGAGTGTATTCATAGTGTCACAAAGTAGTAAGGCTGGAAGGGAACTCCAGAGGTCATCTAATTCAGTCCCCTGCCTGAGGCAGGATCATCCCTGTCCAAATCCATTGTCTAACCTGCAAAACCTACACAGTCAAACCTGACAAAAGCACAAGACATAACAACCCTAACCTGCCATGGGTAAAGCAGGGGG